TTCTGCACATCTTTTGTTAAATTTATTCCTAAGTATTCTCTTTCCTTGTTTTCTTTTGATGCTATTGTGACTAGAATTGTTTTCCTTTTTTTTTCTTTCTGGGAGGAGGGGGGGCGGAGAGGGGGAGGAGATAGAATTGTTTTCTTAATTTCATTTTTGGATTATCCACTGCAAATGTATAGAAATTTGATTGATTTTTGTATATTGATCTTATGTCCTGCAATTCTGCTGAGCTCATTGTTTTTGTGCCTTTCTGTAATCCTCACCTGAGGATATTTTTTCCAGTGATTTTTTCGAGAGAGTGGAAGGGTGGAAGGAGAGGGAGAGAAACATTGGTGAGAGAGACAAATGGATTGGTTGCCTCCTGTACCCACCCCTGTTGTGGCTAGAGAACTTGCAACCAAGGTACACTGGATGGGGCTGCTGAGAAGTAGTAGTCCACATTTGGTTTGCCCTAACATATCAAGCCAACCCATCCATGAACCAGATCTGGATGTGTTTCCTCCTCAGTCAGATGGTTGAAGAATTCTTATGCTGCCCTAAGTATGAACTAAGAGAAAGGTATCAGTGCAATAAATGTATGTAATATGGAGATCTGGGAACGCTTGTTCAATTTAACTTACTTGTGCCACTAAGTTTGCTTGGACTTCTCTCTCAACTGTAATTTCCACCGTAAGATGGATTGCTATTGTATCCACCCAATCTTATGGCTTGGCAGGACAACCAGCTGGTTGGTTATATGGGTAACTGGTCACAGCCACTTTATATTTTGTGATCAGGCACTGAGTCTCTATCAGAACCTAAAAGTATGCCAGGAGATACTTTAAAAATCCTATATAATAAAAGGCTAATATGCAAATAGACCGAACAGCAGAACCGATAACTATGACGTGTGCTGACCACCAGGGGGACATGTGCAGAACATGGCAGGTGTTGGCCACGGCAGGATGGTGGAGCGGGGCCGCCAGACCAAGGCAGAGCACCGGTCGCTGTCATCAGGGCGAGCCTCTGGTAGTTACTGAAAATTCTTTGCTCCCGCGCATCATGGTCCTGCCTGGCGCTCGCACCTGGCACCCACTGCTGGCACTAGAGCTGCCGCTCGCACCCACTGCCAGCACCGGCCCTGCTCACACCTGCAGCCAGTGCCCGGTGCTGGTCCCAATCACTCAGCGCCATCAGCAGGTGCGAGCAGCAGTTGCCGGCCCTGATCGCCCCTGAGGGCTTATCCACCTCCCCCTGCTCCTGAGGGGCAATTGGAGAAGCAGCTGGCACCGCTCGCACCCACTGTTGGCGCTGGCCCCAATCACTCCGTGGGTGGGAGTGAGGCTGCCGGCAGACAGGGGACACAGCACGGAGGATGGGCTGAGACCTGCCCCTGTGCCTACCACAGCCTCGCGGCCCAGTTCCTTTCAAGGTGCACGAATTCCTGCACTGGGCCCCTAGTGTGTGTGTGTGTGTGTGTGTAT